AAATTCCAGTAATTCCAATAATCCATTTGCATTTTCCTCTTCAAAAATCGATAACACTTCCATTTTTGATTATTTTGAAGTCGTATTTGTGCATATGAAAGAGAAAGGTTAGGTCTTTCTTTTGGTTATTCATTATTGCAAAATTAGTTAACAAACCTCCAAATTTTAGGGTTACGTTTGAGAAACTTTAAATGCCCATAACTTATTTTTTATTAATGAAAGTCTTCAATTTTTTTTAACTAAATGGAGGAGAATTCATTTTGCTTCGATCTTTATTAACATTTCCTAGTCTTTAGCTAATTTAGCCTTGTTTGAAAAAAGTTGTGGGCATTTGAAATTATTCAAACGCAACCTTAAATTTTAGGGATTTGTTAATTATTTTTCCAATTATGAATAAACCAATGGTAGAGTTGCTTTTTATTTATAAAATAATGAAATTGATACCCACTTTCGGGTTAACCGGAAGTGACGTTATTTTAAAAATAAATTATTGAGCGGGAGATTTAGCCGGAACACCCTGATAGAGTATTCTTTTTCATTGTTTTTAACTTTTTTGTTTAACAAAGTAAAAACAGACCACAGAAAACATTTAAAGTTAAGCACACATTTATTTTATTAAAAATTATTTTATTACAACTAATTCATAAATAAAAGTTAAAAGAATCCTTTTAAATAGTTTGAATTTTTTTTTCTTTGTTCCTAAATAATAAAATACGCTAAAAAATGCTATTATATTAATTTTGGTTATGAAACGAGTTTTTAAAATGAAACAACTAAGCCGCAAGTTCATAGTTCTGAAATATGCTGCTGTTCTTTAAACAAAGTTTTAAAAAACATGCAAAAGCACGTTAACTTGCAATAAAAAGAAATAACTTTAAGTTTTTCTCATAAAACGGTAAAACACTGAAGAGGAATTAACAAAAACGCGTATTCTAAATAAAGTTTAAGCCACTGAAAAGGCGGTAAGAAGGCTGATGCTTCCTGAAATGTCAATGCTCACAATATAAATAATTGCTGATGCTTTTTAAGATAGGACATCAATGAAACTTAAGAGTTTATTTCGAAAATTGAATAAGACGAAATCCCAAGACACTCTATTGAATTTCAGATGTCAATTTCCTGAAAACATCTGGGGAAAAGAAAACGCAAGTAAAAATCCAAGAAGTGGTCAATAAACTTACAATAAATTTTCTTTCATCACGTTCCAATATTAATAATAATTAAGCTCATTAATTTGTAAAATCAATAGCTCAAATAACTAATTAATTAGCGTAATGAGTTTCCAGTTCAGCAAGCAACTGAAGTAGTTTTAACTAATTTTAATTAGTTTCCAACAAAAGAATGCGTTCAATTCGTTAATAATTAAACAGGTAATTCGATACCGTATTGTTACGAAACGTATATTGTAAAAACGTTTCTTATTGCAGAAACGCTGAGGTGATTATTATTTTTCTCATTAAAAATTAACATTCTGAAGGTTTTTTATAGAATTGCCATCGAGGAAACTTAACTAGAGGTTATTTTTATACACATCTATTTATACAAAACATTCAATAATTTTCCTAAACATGACAGAATTAAGTTTTAAACATAAAGCTTGTTGTGCTTTTTGCTTTGAAAATATATCGGTACACAAATCCCTTGTGCATAGCACAAAGCATTTGTTTGCAGATTATTGCACAATACATAGAGAGAAATTCGAAATTATTGAAGGCTTGGCAGCGATTAAAAGCTATTATAACTTTGTGAAATTTTATTTAACTTAACTAAAACAGAGATCAATAGATATAAGCGTTCATACAAATACGTTTTACAAAAGGATAAAAGCTACAATAACGCTTTAACAACAAAACTTTAATAAAAAAACGGTTTTTTTAAATAACGAATATTTGGTAATACAAATGTTGAAGGAAAATTCCCGCGTGAAACGTAGATTGCTCCCGATTACGTAAAATTGGAGCAATAAATCTATCCAAAGATGTGAGTAGTTTACAAATAGGGGACAATATTTCACAGGAATATTATAACAAGCCACTAATTAAACAATTTAATGATTTTGAATTACTACAAATACTCTGACTGTATTTGTTTAATGTTTTAGTAAGTTACAAAATACTAATGAAATTGTTTAAGGTGCTGAGAAATGATAAAGCTTTATTTAGGACGATAAGTTTAATTTTTTAAGATTATCTTGTCACTTACCGCACTAGCTTTACCAACGAGATAAAAAGCTCATTTGAATAATAGCTCAATGTCACACCGATTTTTCTACATAATTTTTATCTTTTAAACACAGTTTATAGTTTATATGATTAAAATATTTGTTTATTTTTTAAATAAGTAATTAATTGTCTCCCGGCGCATCCACCATAAATAGCTCGTAATGATGCAAATATTTGTGTATTATTTCAACATTGATTATTATCAAACGTGTAATTGTTTTATTTTAATTTAGATTCCTTTTGAAGCAAATATCAGTTTACGTGTTGTTTTTGTAATGTTTTGCAGTTGCAATTTGCGTAAATCTAAACAGCAAACATGTTTAATTTAGTTCAAGTAAACACAGAATTTTTTGCTAAAGACTTTATTTCCGAATGCAAGTTCATATCAGCAACGTTAACTGTTGTTTAGAAGTTGCAAAAGTGGAGCATTAATTCTAAGCAGTCATGTGTTGTGGAGAGAAACACAATTCATATAAATTATGCAATTTGCAAAGTTTAAATAAGAGAAAAAACTTTAAAGTTTGGGAGATGTTGTAAAAGAAACACTAACAACATTTTGCAGTTTTTAACTCCATTGTCTTTGTAAAATAATATTGTTGAACTTTGCTAGGATAATAAAAATAAAATAAAATAAAATAGCTACACCAACGTGTTTTGTCCTGTAACTGACTAGAAACTGCCTCAAACTTGTGCAATATCTACTTATTTTAACTATAAAATATTTTCATATATTGTTGTTGTTGTTCTGGTATTACAATAAAAATATATGGGAAGGTTACATCAAATTTTATTATTAGAATTAATGAACCAACAATCATCAGTGTTGAATTGCCAAAAATATGAAAATTTCTGTTAAAATTTACTTAAAATTGCTCTTTTTATAAAGAAAATATGTATTTCATAACGAAATTAGATTCAGATTTTAGTTTTCGAATGCTTTCAGACACCCTTTTAAAAATGATAAGAAACATTCTATAAAATATTGCCAAATATTTTTTTTTTAACTTTTTGTTTCTTTCTTAAATATTTAATCTGTTTTTTCTAAAAAGCCTTATGCTTACCTATTTTTTTATATTAATTGTACAAAAAGTTTCTAAGTGGTTATTTGGTGTTATTTTATTGCATTTCAAGGTTTTATTATGTCATTTATTTTATCAATTCGTTTATTATCGACTTCGTCATTTATTGGTCGACAATTGACTCTTATTGACAGAATTAAAACAGTAAAGCGGTTTTAAAATCCGAAAAATAGATGATCGAAAAATTGATCCCGTAATATACTCAGGTTCCCGGATATCTTTTATAAAAGATAAAAAAAAATCGAATTAAAATTTCATTTTTTGGGGAACAGCCCTGCTTAGTTAAAGACTAATTTTCAACATAATTTTAGTTTTGAAAAATTAAGTATTCCTTAGAAAAATTTATTTTTTGTAGAGTAAAGTGTCTGTTATGAGGCAAATACGACAAAACGTTATTAAAAAAATGTTTAGAATCAACATCTGAGCTCCTATTCCTATGATTTTTAATTTTTTTGCTTATTATTTCACAAATCGAAGAATTTTATTTATAACAGTTCTTTTATTATGAATTAAAAAATTACACAAAATTTACAAAAGATTTAAAAACCGTAATTTTTTACAATTATTTTAACCCAAGCAGGGCTGAACCCCAAATAATAAGATTTTGATTTGATTTCTTTTTATCTTTTACAAGAATCGTTTCACCTCTCCGGAGACACACTGTATCTATTTTTACAAAGGACCGTTAACTTGAAAAAAATGTGTAGAAATAATACCAATTCCAAAAAAATTCCAGGCAAATTTCAGTGATTTCAAAAAAATTCCACTGAAATTCCAATAATCCATTTGCATTGTCCTCTTCAAAATCGATAACACACTCATTTTTGATTATTTTGAAATTGTATTTGTGCATATGAAAGAAAAAGGTACGGTCTTTCTTTTGGTTATTCATTATTGCAAAAATAGTTAACAAACCTCCAAATTTTAGGGTTACGTTTGAGAAACTTTAAATACCCATAACTCATTTTTTTAATGTGTAGAAATAATTCTAATTCCAAAAAAATCTCAGGAAAATTAAAAAAATTCCACCGAAATTCTAGAAATTCCAATAATACATTGTAATTTCATTGTCTTCCGATTAATTCCGATGATTACAAAATAATTTCTGTAATTCCAAATTAATTCCGATAGTTCTAAGAAATGCAACCTAATTTTCAAAAGAAATTAATTTTGATCATTTCAAAAAGAATTCCAGTACTTCCAGAAAAATTTCAGTAATTCGCCCCAGTAATTCCAAACAATCCAAAGATAATTTTAATAATTCCAAATAATCCCGCAATTTAGATTAAATTCAAAAAAAATGTACAACTAATTAGAGAGTTAACGGCCCTCGATTTTTTATTTTCGTTGTGTATTATAGTATAAAATAAGATATATAGATTTTTGTTTATCTCAAATATCTATTTTTGAATAGATATTTTTTTTACAACTGAATTGAAAATTATGTATCTACATCGTTTTTTTATGAAAAGTGCCAAAACACGTTTTTGCTTTATGTTTGACTGAACAAACTAGATCAGGAAGAAATCCAACACTCATATCAAGTCCTTCACGTAACAACTCAATTTGTAAAATGTGTGTGAAAAGGTGAAAAGTGGAGCAGAGATATCCCAAGAACGCGTTCTAAATTGTGTTATAAATATTTGAAAAGAGCGTTCTTTGAGAGCGCTTCTAAAAATTCGCGAGACAAAGCCCTCACCGGAATCCTACTGTAGCTCGTGAGCCAGATCCACGAGTCGCCCCCTGGAGCGGCCCCCTTGTTCCCGGTCTGCTGCCTAATCAACTCGTCCTTCTTCTCCAGCGTACTCCTCATCTCCGGACTGAAAAACTCCACGTGCGGCTCATCGCTCGGCGAGTTGAGCATCTGGTAGTCGAGGTCGGGGGCATCGCGTCGCCGTCTGGTGCCCCCCTGGTGCTCCCGCAGGATCAAAATCCGCACGATTTCGTCCTTGGCCTGGTCGCCGCGGATCTCGTTGAGGAAATACTGGCGGAAGTCTTCTTTCGACACGTAGTCGCTCCGGATTTCGGAGTTAATCAGTCGGTAGATGTAGTGGGCCAGGCAGATTTCGGTGACGAAGATGAAGAGGACGCAACAGATTACGCGGATTGTGTAGCTGGGGTTGCGGTGGTGCAGGGGCAGACGGGTGCCGGGCTCGAGTTTGGGGTTTGATTCCGTCGCAGACATTTCCGGAAATTCACATCGCGGACGAGGAAACGGAAAGCGAAGCTTCTTCCTCTACAGCGGACGAGAGCGGACTGAAGGAAAATATCCCGCCGGCAGACGCGCGCGGCTAGAGACACTTGAAGATGCGTTAATTCGAACTGTGAATCGTCAATCAGAAGAAGAAAATGTAAAACAAGAGGAGATGAATTTTCAATGGCTGAATGGAATTTAGAAACCGAAATAACTCCAATCAAAACCGCTAACAACATTGATTTTTAAGCCATAGACAGCAGTTGATATTTTATCAAAATTGAAAGTTTGTTTGGTTACTTTAACAGATTCATATTTGAACCAAAGAAATGTCTTTTTCCTACGACCATATACCATCGAATGTTTTGTATTTCTTCATTTAACGTATTTTTTTTGTATCCATTATAAAAAATAAATCGTCATTCAACGTATTTTTGTATCCATTATAAAAAATAAATCGTTATGAAAAAAAATATGTTCGTAAGAAAAAAATTATTTATGGTCGTAGGAAAAATAGTGTACACAACTTGCAGGAAAGTGTCTAACGCACTCGCGGTACTGCCTGCACTCGGCTAACGCAGGGCCGTAACCAGGATTTTATTTCGGGGGGGGGTTTCTTGTTGGTCCATGAAAATGAAATTAAAGAAGACGGATTAAAAAGCAAAAATCTCTAAGTACACGTTTTTATTTTAAATTGAAATAAGAGATCCTAATTAAACATAAAAAAAATACAAATTAACTCACAAAAGTAACAAAAAATAAAATAAATTTTTAATACTTTTTATTGTTACAAATTTAAACAGGAGATGAATATTCATTTTTAAAACAAAAA